TCCGCTAGGGCGGGGCGGAGGGCGGGGCGAAGGGCGGGGCGGAGGGCGGGGCGGAGGGCGGGGCGGAGGGCGGGGCGGAGGGCGGGGCGGAGGGCGGGGCGGAGGGCGGGGCGGAGGGCGGGGCGGAGGGCGGGGCGGAGGGCGGGGGGGAGGGCGGGGGGGAGGGCGGAGCAGAGGAGGGAGGGGGGCGCTGGTGTGTCGAGCTGCGCCCCGCGCGTGGCGCCGTCACCGCGCACGCTCTACCAGACGGGCCAGCATTACGCGGGAGTGCACCCGCCGCTGGCGGCGGCGATGGCGCGGCTGGCTGGAGAGGGCGCGGCGGAGGGGCGTGGGCGGCGGTCTTTCACAGCTGTAGCTGTGAACAGGCGGGGCTGGCCGGCGACGCGGCGGAGGGGGTGGTCTGGGACCCCTTTTGTGGCTCCGGTCCCCGCCCCTCCGCCAGCGCGCGCTCTGCCGCCGCGCATCTCTTCACACTTGCCGCTGTGGGCAGGCACGATGCTGATCGAGGCGGCGATCGCCCGCCCCGCGGCTGTCCGCACGCTAGTCGGGACCGACGTGGCGCCCGCCGCCGTCAGCCTGGCGGCCGCCAACGTCGCGGAGGCGCGGCGGCGCAAGCTGCTAGCCGATCGCGTCGGCGCGACCCGAGGGGCGGACTCCTGCTGTGGCTGTGAACGGCGTCTGTTCTTCACGGCGGGCGGTGGCGTGCACAGGCGCCGTCCTCAGAGAGGTCGACTTTCGCGAGGGCGTCGAGCGGATACCGGAGCTCGCGCCGGGCGGCGTCTCCCTCGTCGTCTCCAACCCGCCGTTTGGGCAGCGCGTCAAGGTGCGGGACCTGCGCGCGCTCTACACGGACCTCTTCGCGGCGTCCGCAGCGGTGCTTCGCGGCGGCGGCAGGCTCGTGCTGATCAACCCGCGCCGCGTCGCGCCCGAGGGGCTCGCCGCAGAGGCACTCTCGCTCGAGTCGCGCCGCACCGTCGAGCTGGGCCTCCGGCGCGCCGGCAGCGTGGAGGTGTGGCGCAGGCGAGACCGCGCGTAGCTCCGTAGGACGACACTTCCGACGTGTTCTGAAAAGCTGAGAGTCTTATTTTTGCGCTAGACGGAGTGTGCAAGGCGCAAGAATTCTTTTTCAGAGCGCCTTCGTTGTTAATAATACAGACGGATGGTACCTTGGTCCTTGCCAATTTGTATCGGCTATCGCGGGGGGGGGCCGCGGAAACGTCAGGGGCGGGGAACCCGCAATTTGAGATGCTGAGGCATCTGAAATTGCCCGATACGATCTCCATTCTAATTGAGATTGCCTCGAGCATCCCAAGATGCATGAAGCAATTCAGGATGCGCGCGCATCCTGAATTGCTTCGCGCATCCTGAATTGCTTCGTGCATCTTGGGATGCTCAAGGCAACCAAAGATGTCCACGACATCCCTGATTGAGCCATTACATCCTGAGATGCTGGCCGGAGGGCGCTGCATCTCAGGATGGCTCAATTGGCGTCGCCATCCCCGAGATGTGGCAAGCATTTTCAAATGGATATTTTAACCTCAGATAAATAAGACAATCCAGAATGCGCGCGATGTGCGACGAGGCCTAATAGTCCGCAGCGCCCCCAATGGTGCGCCGCCTGGAGGGCGAGCTCTCCCTCTCCCTCTCCCTCTCCCTCTCCCTCTCTCTATTCTCACTCTCCCTCTTTTTCTCCCCCTCTTACTCTCCCTCTCCCTCTCTCTCTTACTCTCCCTCTCCCTCTCGCTCTCCCTCTCCCTCTCCCTCTCCCTCTTCCTCTTACTCTCCTCTCCCTCTCCCTCTCCCTCTCCCTCTCTCTCTCTCTCTCCCTCTCCCTCTGACTCTCTCTCTCTTCTCCCTCTCCCTACGCCCGCCGTCGCATACGCCCACACTGTGTTGGCCAGGTTCTGAGGGTTGAAGCCAGCCAGCCCGCCACGCACCGCCGCCTCCGCCACCGCTACGAACAACGGGTGCACCACCCTCGCTTGCAGGCCGCACGTTGCCACGCCGTGAGCGACGTTCGCCAGTGCTCGCGCATTGCACGAGGAGACGAGGTCGAGCGTGCGCTGCACCAGCTGCTCAAGCCGCCCCTCGTGCCGCCGCTCGATGCGCTGCTTGCCCAGTTTGTTCCACAGGTTCGCAGCGTGGATGTGGTCCAAGCTCGCGCTGTGGGCAGCAAAGAGCGCGAGCAATGCGTCAGCGCTGCCAGCATTTGAGATGTGGCTGCTGAGCTGCTTAGCATTGAGCTGACCACCGGCAGCAGAGGTGTGCCGATCTTCGCGCGATCCCGCACCACGCATCGGCGGACTCCACCGGCGGTCGCTGTGCTGAAGCTGCCCCTCGCCGCGGAGGTCGCGCCGGTCATGGTCGCGCCTGGGATCGTGGTACCGATCCTCGCGCCGATCGTGCCAGTCGCGCGCGCGCTCGCCTCTGCCACGATCGTCGTAGCCGCGCCGCTCATCATGCCGCCCGTCATGATGCGGCCGTTGCTCGCCTCGCCATGGCTCGTCGCGCCATCGCTCAGCGGGCAATTGTGGCTCAGCGTGCCTTCGCTGCTCGCGACCACTGCACCAAGAGTCGTTGTAGCCGCGCCGCTCGTCATGCCGCTCGTCATGCCGCCCGTCATGATGCGGCCGTTGCCCGCCGCGCAATGGCGCGTCGTGCCATCGCTCAGCGGGCAATTGTGGCTCAGCGTGCCTTTGCTGCTCGCGACCTCCGCACCAAGAGTCGTTGTAGCCGCGCCGCTCGTCATGCCGCCTGTCATGGTTCGGCCATTGCTCGCCGCGCAATGGCTCGTCGTGCCATCGCTCATTGGGCCATTGCGGCTCAGCGTGCCTTTGCTGCTCGCGACCTCCGCACCAAGAGTCGTTGTAGCCGCGCCGCTCGTCATGCCGCCCGTCATGCCGCCCGTCATGGTGCGGCCATTGCTCGCCTTGCCAACGCTCGTCGCGCCGTCGCAGCTCATCCCGCCGCGGCTCATCGCGTGATCGCGACCGCCGTCGCTCGCCCTGCCATCGCCACTCTTCGCGTCCGCACTCGGCGCGCCGTTGCTCATCACGCCAGCGACGCTCCTCGGTCCGATGGGACATGTCCGAGCGAGATGCGTGCGTCGGGCAGAGGAGCGCCCAGAGGAGTTTGCTGGCGATGAGGGCAGAAGAATTTAAACAACCTGCGGCGCGCCTCGCCTCCACTCCCCGCCACCCACTAGGTCGTCTATCTCTTGCCCACGTCCGAGCGTGTCCGGTTCGTCACTTCCCCACCATGCGTCCCCGCCGATCGTCGCCTCTCCATCGGCGGCTACTCTCCACTCGTCGTCTCCCCCGTGCGGGGCGTGCGGTGCGTGAGCCGGCTCGTTGTGCGAGTATATGGGACACGATGTCTCAAATATGAGAGGTTTTGACTCCTACCGGCTCCTGACGCTATCCCTGGCAGCTCTAATGACCAGGATCAGTAGTGCTATGATAGAGGGTGCCCATACTAGCGCAGGAGCTGCCACACTCGCCCGGAACGGCTCCCTCTGGGGCCGGTTCCGCAGCCCGTGAGAGCCGACAGCGGGGCCGTGCCGCGGGTGCCTACTGCCGAGTGCCACAAACACTGCGCCGTCCCGCCATCACCTACAGGCTGTCTTGTGTGATGGTTGGGATGTCCAAACGCCACCATCTTGGCTCTTGCGACCTCAAACCCGCGAGCTGTATGGGTGGTCCTGACGTCGACGAGTCGACAAGTCTCGTCTGAGCCCGTGGCGGTCGCCGGCTGAGTCGCTGTGCACGGGCCGGTACCTCAGGCGTCACCTCCGCAGCCTCAGGTCTCAAACTCCACCACCTCCGCCGGGACGCCGTCGGTGGCACGCTCGGCGGCGAGTTTGTTGCAGCTCCACAGCGAGCGCGGCGTCGAGCCTACTCATTCCTGTTGGATACACGCACTCCCTGGGACCCAGGGAGTGCGTGTATCCAGCAAGCGGTGCGTCCCGGCAGCGCGCGCAGGCTGTGGAGCTGCAACAAACTCGAGACACGCTTTTTTGGGACATTTTCGACGCTTTTGTCCCATATACTCGCACAACATGCCAGCCGTACCTTGCACCGTGGATTCCGTTGAGGGGGTCGGTTGGGTTTTCCCGTCCGTGGGGCTTACGTACACTTACGGTGAATCGGGATGATGCACATCGTACATGGGTCATGGGGGAAAGCCGCTGCCTCGCATCCACAGACCGCCTTGTGTCGCGTGTCGGACGCTGATGCCTGATCGCTGTGGCCTGTGCAGCAAAAACGTCTAGGTGCGAGTGTTCAACAGGATACAGGCTCAGGCCGCCAGGAGGCGCGCCACGAGCGCTGCTTTGACGCCGGTGGTGGCCAAGCCGAGGCGCCCGCACTCGCTCCTCACCGTGCGCACCCTCCGCTCCACGCCTTTTTCGCCCTCGTAGTACTTCACGTTGCCGCTGGGAAACTCCGCGCACACCACCCGCTCCGCACCCCGCTCGCCCTCGTAGTGCTGCACGTTGCCGTTGGCTAACTCCATGCGCACCCACCGCTCCGCGCCTCGCTCGCCCTCGTAGTGCTGCACCTTGCCGGACTGCAAGAGGCGTCGCCGCAGATTCGCGCCATTCTCTTCGCCGCGCCGCAGTCTCCAGTATTCGGCGCGACTCGCGCCAGCACCCGTCACTTCCGACGAGAGGCGGAGCGCCGGGCTCACCCTCGCAAGCCACGGGAAGTGGTCGGCGCTGGCGCGGCGGTCGGCGGCGTATCTGCGGAGGATAACCTCATTGAGCGTTGCCGACACCGTGACGAAGGGGTCGGCGCAGCGGCGCTGGACAAGCAGCAGCCGCATCGCCACGGCGAAGAGCGGGTCCTGGTGCGTGGGTGTGAGGGGAGCGCGACATATACGGAGGTGCTGGTCACAGCGGTAGAGAAGCAGCGTGACGAGCGCGCGACATGAGATGAAGAAAATTTAAACAAAACAACTCTCTCTCACTGAGATGAAGAATCTTACAACAAAACTCCCTCGCACAACACTGAGATGAAGAATTTTATAAAACTCCTGGCACAACCGGGCGCGCACTGGCACTAACACAGGTACACCACGGGAGCCGCCTAAGCGACTCCTGCGAGGGTGGCGAGGCACTTAGCTCCGTGCACCCGCCCACCCCCGCCACAGGCAAGCTCATTCACGACCTGCTCTGCGATGGCCGTGTGAAGAACGACTGAGATGCGCTGCTTCTGCAGCCCCAGCCAGCTCTTGGTGGTCCAAGTCACCTCATCGAGGTACTGAGATGAAGAATTTTGAAGAACAGCTACAGCTGACTTCTGTGCGAGGCACACGATCTGTTGTGTCGCTCCTGTGTGACCGTCATCGCCCGTCCTGCGTCCACCCATACCGCGTTGGTGTCCCAGTCGTTGGTCGGACTGTGTTTCGCCTGGGATCTCTCTCTCTGTTGTGCGAGGCGTGAACCGCGCCATTCGCTCTCACCTGGCAACCCTGTCTGCACGTCTCGCGCGCGCGTGAACAGGGCTCCAGGCCCCAAATTACGTGAGTGTTAGAGTTCTAACACACACACACACACACACACACACACACCATTGGGTTTGTATTATTAACAACGAAGGCGCTTAAAGGATAAAAAAGAAAACAGTTTGTTTCATAACATCGAAGGCTAAGCTCAAAAAGAAAACAGATATGGGAGGAGATAGCGCGTCTGTCTTCCTCCACGCCACATCTATGCTCCACGTTTGACATCTATGCTCCACACACACACTCACTCACACACACACACACACACACACACACACACACACACACACACACACACACACACACACACACACACACCACACCGCTCACCCACGCGCACTGGGCCTTGCACTTTGAATGCCGTGGGGCTCCTGTCGTCATACGTGGAGACGCGAGGGTTGCCCCCCCTTGCCCCACCACCTCGTGTGTGTGGAGAAGTTTACCTTACCTTGCCAATTTGTATCGCGCTTCGCGCGCCTTGCGGGGGGGGGGGGGGGGGGCGGAAAAGAGGAACCTCTTAGCGCGCCATCGCCATGGTGCTGGCCTGCAAGCAGCGCCGGGCGACAACGACTTACCGCTCCCGGCCCCCCTCGGCACACCTCCGCTGCTTAATGTTTGACGACTCGAACCCGTGAAGCTTCCCCGCGCGCGGGTTACCCCGCACACGGGTCACACACACACACACACACACACGTCAGGGGTCAGCCTGCCACGGACGTGCCAGCCACGTATCCACGCAAGCGTGGTCCGCGCGCATGGCATACAGGCGTTCGCCAGACAGCGCAGAGGCTACATGTACATGTGCATGTGCATGTATGTAGGCGACCGGGGAAGGACTAGCTCAAGGGCAACACACACAGCGTCACCAGCCGTTGGCGCGCAGAACGAATCTGCGGCCCCCGGTTGGGACGAGTGCGCGACGCGGACGAACCGCTCAATGTGGCCGGCAGCTCGCGCTGCCGGCGGGGTTGGTTGGGGAGAACCGGAAAAGAATTTTAGCGGAAAAGAAAGAAAACACTCACCTAAGGGAGAGATAGCGACTGTCTTCGGTCACTCCACAGAAATGCTCCACGCTGTCGCCTTGCGGGTGGCGGTCGCGCTGATAGGCCATGCTCCTGCGATGTACTCTCATTCTCGCGACGCGAACCCTATGGCGCTTGCGAGGGAGAGCTTCAAGGGCCTTCACGCGGCACGCAGCATGGACGCAAAATTTGGCACGCTCGCCAACGCAACCATGCGGATGACGACCGCAGAGGCACAGCTTTGGTTCTCATTGCTGAACCAATCGTCGACTTATCTGGAGTGGGGTACAGGCGGCTCCACAGTGATGGCGGCATGGCGTGCGACTCTCACACACCTAGAGCCACTGAAGGTCGACGCAATCGATAGCAGCCAGGGCTGGTTTGACGTCCTTCGGAGTCATTCACCTATCCGTGATGCTGAGGCTGCAGGCTCTCTGACGTTTCATCTTGGCAACATCGGAGAGACTATCATGTGGGGGAACCCCAAAGACTGGAGTAAGCGCAGTGCTGCCTTGCGTGAGAAGCAATCACGCTCGTACATCCAGTCTATCCCGACCTCGCGCTGCTGCTACGACCTCATCTTGGTAGATGGCCGCTTTCGAGAGGCGTGCGCGCTCTATGCCTTGCGCTTGATGCACAATCGCACCACCGTGCTCATACACGACAGCTCTAGGCACACCAATCATGAGGCGATCCTGAACTATTATCACGTCGTGACGGTGCGCGACACTCTGGCTGTTTTGCGACCAAAGCACGGCGCCGTCGCGCGTGCAAAGTCTGGCAGCGACGGTGTCTACAACGCGCTGTTCACCAAGTTGATGAACGTATTCGCTCGGCGATCTTAGAGGTGAGCCTCTTTTCGTCATCGCGCACTCGCGCTGGCGCAGCCCAATAATGACGCCGCCTGTGGCCTGTGGGTGGGAGGGCCACGCTGTAATCCAATTCGACCACGGTTCCCAATACAGGCAGTCTAGAGGCACTTGTACTTGTGCGTTGTGACGCGCTCGCATCGCGCGTCAGTGGATTGTGGAGATCAGCTCGCCCACATGACGCACATGCATCTTGAATGAGTTCGCGCCGTCGCCCCCCCCCCCCCCCCCCCCGCCACCCGAGCGTGCGCCACTTAGGTCGCAGAAGAATGCCGCTCGCCGGACGCCGGCGCGGCACGGGCGGCGTGGAGCGTGGTGTCACGTCGAGTGTACACAGGAGTATTCACGTGCGTTGGTTTCCATGAACCATATGTTAAGAGCTGCGAGCCGTATATGTTTACGGAGCCGTGTGGACCCCGAACCCGGCCGTCGCACACCGAAGCCTTCCTTAGGGCCTAGGCCTGAGACGCGTCTTCGGGAACAACCCTGGGGTGAACATAGAAAACAACCCCAACCCCGCACTCTCCAAGACCAAGTGTGTGGCAAGTGCGACTACCCCGTCAAGTGCTCCAAGAGTGTCCGCCCATGTGATACTGTAAATTCTGAATCGGATCGGATTGATTCAATGACATTATTGTGACACATATCACATGCACATGCGTAATGCGATGACACACACGTGTGAATTCATGACATTCGATCCGGATGATTTTCGATTTCGTGATATATCCAGGATTTTCGAAAACGTTGAAAAACCCCTTCCCTCCCGCGGTGATTCCATGCCGAGGGTCCCATGCGTCGTCGGAGCCGTCCGCCGCCCGCGCGCTTGTGTGTGTGATAGCTTTGTGATGCCCGTTGGCCGAGGTGCTCACTGGGATCATAGTGAGCGGTCACAAGCGCGGCATGGACCGCCGAGGCCGTCTCGGCATGGTTGTCATGCTGGACTGTTGTCGCTCGTGATTAATGTTCCCGAGCCAATCTGGCTCAAGGTACTGTATGACAAGAAAATGAGGTCGCGCGGAGGCCCAGACTCGCTAGTACCCACGCCACACACCTCAGAAACGGCCTCGGAGCGCTCCACGACCGCATGGGCCCCGCGACGCTGTGGTCCCGGTCCACTGTGGGCGTGAACACGTCGAGAATGCTCCGTCTCGTCTTCCGACTCAGGCTCGACTGGGGCGAACAGGCCTTTACACCCGGTGTTCGTACGCTTTGAGACCAAAGAACTACCTCATACCAAGCTACAGTGAGCGGCGCGGGCTCAGGAGGCCATGGGAAGGCGGCCGTCGGTGGCGTCGGAGCAGCGTCGGCATATTTTGGCCCCTCGCGGCATATTTTGGCCTCCTGGCGGCATATTTTGGCCCCTCGAGTTTATCGAGCTCTCCTCGCGCAAGGACGACTCTTCTGACGCCCACGTCCGATCATTTGCCGCCAAAGGGCGCCGTCGCCCCCAGCACAGGAGCATGGAGCTCGTCCCCAACCTCCACAGAGGTCCTCACAATCGGAGGTCCTCACCCACGGAGGTCCTCACAAGGCAGCATGCACCTCCTGTCCTGCTTCACGCGGCGCACAGAGCGACGTCTTGCTTCTCCAGGGCCTGTAAACACCTTCAGGTATATCCTCGAGTCGTGTGTGCTTACGGCTGCCAGCCAGCACACGCAGCACTTTGTGCGTCCTCCGGCCTGCACAGAAATACGAAACAGTCGAGTCTGGTTATGGTAGATGGAGAGGAAATGAATTGGGTGTATAGTGCGAAGGTCTGCTTCGTGGCGGTAAGCAGCGTGACGAGCGCGCGAACCCCAGAAGAAAGCTTTGCGACGTTCTGTGCGAGGCACACGAGGCGGAGCGAACCCATCCGAGAATAATTCCTGCTAAAATTCTTTTCCCCTCGGCCATGAGATGAAGTAAATCTTTGAAAAAAGAAAGAAAGAAAACGGACAACCCAAGGGAGGGATGGTAGTAAATCTTTGATCGCGTTCTCTGCGGGGGAGTCAGAATTCTTTTTCGCTCGGACATCGGCATAGCCGCGACCCCCTTGCAAACCCCCGCCGCCTCTCGCTCGCTAACCGTTCGCACCCACCACACTGTCCCACAAACAACGCACACACGCACTTCTCAGCACGCTAGATGGCTGGCAGTAGTAGCAGGGACGACGACGAGGCGTGGGCGAGGGCGGCCAGGAGCGCTCTCACCGGCCTCCCTCCGTTGCCGCCCGCCATCGCCGCCGCCAGCAGCCTCGGCGGTGCTGGTGGCGGCCTAGGCGGCGGCATCGTCTCCGGCGGCCGCTGCCCGCCGTGGCTCCACCCGTGCTTCGCCGACCTGCTCGGCAGCTACGGCGCTCCGGCCGTCGCCGGCGCGGCGGCTGTGCCGCTCGACGTGCCTCTCCGCTTCCTGCACAGCTTGCTCGAGGCGCTGCACGCCCACTGCGCCCTCCCGGCGGGAGAGCACTCGGCGGCGGTCGTGGAGGCCATCGAGGCGCTGAAGAATGGTGCCGAGCTCGCAGCGTACGCACCTGTCGGAGGCTCTGGCGACTCGCCCCGCCGCCTGCTCGACTTCCTCTCCCGCCTCACCGAGTTCCTCTCCCGCAAGGACGCACTCGGTCTGCCCCAAGAGATGCCCCCTCTGAACAGACGGGCGGGGGCTCGACGTTCCATCAACGGCGGCTGTTCGTGCCGCAGGCATGCCCGGGGCCTCGCTGCTGCTGCCGGTCGGCTGGCTCAAGGCGGCGGAGGAGGGCCTCGCCCCTCCGTCCCTCGACGCGGACTCGTCCTTTGGCGGCGGGGGAGGCGGAGGCGGAGGAGGAGGCGGAGGAGGAGGAGGCACTCACGCAGTGGTGATGCTGGCTCTGCGCATGGTGCGGCCGTGCCGCCCAAACACATCGCGGCGTGTGGCAGCGGCTGTCCTGACGCCTCGCGCCGACGAACAGGTGCGGCCGGGGGCGTGGGACATCGCTGTCTGCTCTGCGCGCGGCGGCGCCTACCACACGGCGCCGGGCAGCCGCGGCTGCAGGTGGTGCGTCGGGCGCGGCTCGTGCGGCCAGTGTGGAGGCGCGGGGCAGCACCCCCACGCTACTTATTGCCATCGCTGGTATCGCGGATCCTGGTATCTTCGCCATCGTTGTTTCGACTAGGCGCGGAGCAGCCCTCCCGTGCTATTGATTGTCATCACGCCTGCCACCATCGTCGTCGTCGCCGTCTCGACTAGGCGCGGAGCAGCAGCCGGTGCTGCTCGTGCGGCGCGTCTGCTCGGAGCAGCTACTCGACTCTTCGGGCTGGTTGGTGCTCTACCGCGAGCTCGCCGCCAGCCGTCCCACCCCCTCGCTCGGTGGGCCACGCACGCTGTACGAGGCGGGGCTGCGCGTCTCCGCGCTGCGGGGCGGGAGCAGCGTCTCTTCACGGCGCGCAGCTGTGAACAGGCGGCCGGAAGACCGTGTGCCGCTGAGCTGTGAACGGCGTCTTACTCACGCGGGCGGCGGTTGCGAGCAGGTGGTGCTTCCCTTCTTCGCGCAGAGGTCGCTCCCCGACGCGATGCAGAGCGACCCTCCCCCGCCTTGCTTCCGCTCCCCGCCCGCCCCCACCGCCGACGCCAGCCACTGCGCGGCCGGCCTCGAGGGCGTGCGCGGGCTGCTGCACCTCTGCGGTCTGCCTGCTGCCGCCGCCTCGGCCCTCTGCCTGCGCCTCCGCCGCCTCTCCCTCACGGCGTGCACCACCTGGCGCCTGGCAGGCCAGCATGCCGGACCGAGAAGAGCCGTCGGGGCAGTGGTGGGATAGGCGTGCAACGTGGCGCTCCGCGACGCCGCCGCGACTCCGAGCGTGTGGATCTCGCGCGCGGAGCACGAGCGCATCGCTGCAGCGGGGCGCGGGCTTGCGGCGGCCGCGGCGGCAGAAGCGAGCCGGCGCTGGCCGAGCAGTGGCAGCGAGGAGGGAGGCGGAGGAGGCGGAGGAGGCGGAGGAGGGGGAGGAGGGGGAGGAGGCGAGATCAGCACTGCGGAGCTGCGGGCGACGGCGGAGACAGTGACTGCGGCGTGCGAGCTTGCGGACAGCCTGCACACGCGCGCGCTTGGGTCGCCGCTCGCGGTTGGCGGTGGTGGTGCTGCGGCGTCGGAGGAGGAGGGGGAGGAGGACGCTCGGCTGCCGTCGGCTGCCGAGTCGAGCGCCGTAGTGCTGCACGGCCTCTTCTCGCGCCTCCGCCGCTCCCCGGAGGAGCGACGCGTCTAGACGCAGGACGCGGACGCTGTGTCCCCCAAGCAGCGCTCGAGAGGACACGTACTCGGCTGTACTCCGCTGTGCTCGGCTGTGTTCGGCTGTATTCGCACCCCCCCCCCCCCCCTCGTATCCACGCGGTGCTGTGAACACACTGCACGGGACCGCCCTCCCCCGGCCTGAGGTTGGCGTAGCCCGCCACGTAGGATCAAGAGCGTGTGCGTCGTCTCGCGGGCGAGCCGCTCTACCCTACCCCCTAACCCCTAACCCCTAACCCCAGCCCTAGCCCCCAACCCTAACCCCTATCCCTAACTCTATCCATATCCCTAAGCCTAACCCAGACCCTAACCCTAACCCTAACCCTAACCCCTAACCATGTCCATACCCCCCCTGACTCTTTCACAAGCCCACCCCCAGGCGAGCCGCCCGAGCCACCCTTCCTCCGGCCCGTGCAGCTCAGCGGAGTCGCCGAGCCCGTGGCGTCAGTGCACGGCGCCGCGCTGGCGATGCGGCGCGCTCTGACGCAGTGCGCGCTGCTCGCCAACCAAACAGGCGCGGGGCGGCGGGTGAGCGGTCCGGCCGGAGCCTCGTGGACGGCGTCTCTTCACGCCTCCGCGCTGTGAACAGGCGGCGTGCACCACTCGGCCAGCCTTCGGGTGGCGCTGCTGCAGCACCTCTTCATCGGGGTGCTGCCGCTGCCGCTGCCTGTAGCTGTGAACGGCGTCTCTTCACGCCTGTAGCTGTGAACAGGTGCTGCCGCTGCCGCTGCCTGTA